TGGTGGTGGTTTTGTGGTGGTGGTGGTGGTGGTGGTGGTGGTGGTTTTGTGGTGGTAGTGGTTTTGTGGTCGTGGTGGTGGTTTTGTGGTGGTGGTGGTTTTGTGGTGGTGGTGATGGTTTTGTGGTGGTGGTGGTTTTGTGGTGGTGTTGATGGTTTTGTGGTGGTGGTGGTTTTGTGGTGGTGCTGGTGGTGGTCGTGGTGGCAGTGGTTGTGGTCGCGGTAGCGGTAGCGGTGGCGGTAGCGGAAGCGGTAGCAGTAGCAGTAGCAGTAGCAGTAGCAGTGGCAGCAGTAGCAGCAGCAGCAGGAGCAGTGGCGGCAGCAGCAGCAGTAGCAGTATCAGTAGCAGTACCAGTAGCAGGAGGCGGCCTCGTTTGGCTTTCAAAGATGATTGTGGGAGATCCTCGTGCTCATTGTGATAGTGGAACAATGAAAGTACATATCAACATGCCAAGTAGTTAAAACACTGCTGTAACTTACTGGTCGGTAGGGGATGAGGGAATGTAATCCCTACAGTATCCCTATATAAGATAATCTCTTGTTCCCTACTAACGCTAAACGCTAAACCCCATATATGCATACATATATATATATATATAAAATATACATATATACATATATATATGTGTATATCTATTTCTCCCATATTCCCTACTGAGCCCCAGCAAGGTGATCGTGATTTTAGGAACATGTCTAGCATGGAGACCAACCCACAGGGTCGCCCAGGCAAAGACACACAGCTATCGATGTGTTTAGGGTTTTAGGGTTTAAGGGTTCACTTGTTTAGTAATTAAGGGTTTAGGGTGTAAGGGTTTATGGCTATGGGGTTTAGGGTTTTTGGTTCAGGAGCTTGGGCATGAGGCAGATGGAGCACAACCGCGTGCATCAGGCAGGTTCAGGTTTCGTTCAAGGTTCAGCGGCCATGTAGAAGGTTCAGCTTTTCGGGCTTTGATGGAACTTGGCTTTAATAATTGTTTGGAAGCTGCATGGGAGGTCTTGAAATGTCTTGACATTGTAGACTTGCGCAAGCTCAGGTGTTCTAGCTTGGGGGGTAGGGTGTTGAGCTTTACCATTTTCCATCCATGAATGTAGCACTCATTTTTGTGTACCAGGGCTTGTGGTCCTCGTGCCAGCACTGTGATGAATATTCGTAGCGGATTGTTTCGAACCTCAAACAGTTGCTGTTAAAGCAAATCCAGGTTGGGATCGACAGGATTGTGGGATTGACAACATTTGGGTTTCCTTTTCTCTACGGGAAATTACGGAAACTTGAAACTAGAGGCCCAACGGTTCATTCGAATCTTAGTTTGGAAATGTTTTGGGGTCCCAAAAAACGAATTTAAGCCTCAAACACTTGGCACTGATCCGGCCGCTCATACAACAGGGGTCCTTCAGGTATCTCCCCAAAATTCAGACTCTTGAGGACCCCCTGTTAAAAACCGGATGCGACATTACCGCGCAGATCCATCGCTTGTAGGTTCCACACAGGGCTCACGGCTTGCTTGAGCGTTGGTTCAACTACGCGTCAGCATTTTGGTTTACCGGCCTTCTGGGTTAGCAACAGGTTGGCCTGTGCCAACTGCACGTCGAGGACCGGCCAGCTTCAAAC